GTCTGCAGAATTAGCAAATGCGTGTCTGCGGAATTGTGAACGCATGTGTTAAAAACTAAAATACCGTTCATTTGGTCGTTTAATTCTTAATAAACATGTTAATTTTAATAAAATTTATTTTACTAAACAGGGTGATTTTGAGGTATTACCAATTATGGAACGGTGGCCAGAAGTTGAGACTTGTGTGGAATGCTCAGCAAAAACTATGAAGAATGTGAGCGAGATATTCTTCTATGCGCAGAAAGCCGTTGTGCACCCTACAAGGCCGCTCTATGATGCCGATGAGAAGCGGCTGACGGATAAAACTCGAAAAGCACTCATTCGAGTGTTCAAGGTATGTTTATTCGTTGTTTGTTGGAGAAAGGCACTCATTCGAGGTTTGTTGGAGAGAGACGTTGCATAGGCCCGTTACCAGTTGAGAGTTAGGATATGACGTGTCAATTCAGCTGGCAAATGACGATGAAACTCGGGAGACGGGCAAGAGAATCGTAATTTGCCGCTAAGCCGCGCGCGGCGATAGGCGCGGCGTTTTCTTAACTCGTGTTAACCTGTCGTCTGGAGCACCGGACTTCATGTAGACCCCGTCATCGTAGACATTCATGACTATTTTCGGTTCTGAATTGCCTGTTGTCGCCATCTACTACCTGGAACCATCGTCATTTGCGGGCGCGACGTCGCACGCGACGCCCGCAAAGCGGCGAATTACGATTCTCTTGTCACATACCCACGAAACCCGTACTGTATAACTATCGTCGAAATGTCAGCAGTGGTTGTTACGTATTAGGTTGTTCGAAAAGTAATGCGACACTTTGACCAAATTTTTCGGACTAAATTTTCCGTCACTAAAAGACATCTCCAATCTACAAGGTAACCGCAGTTGATGACTAGGACTAGTGCCCTTCTTTTGCACAGCTTCTCATTTCCATTCTCATAGAACTACGGCAACTATGATAAAAAGAAGAGGTGGACCTCATTCTCGAGGGATTTTCGGAATTTTTGCTTTTTAAAGGATGCGATAGGGACCAAAGGAGGTGGTAATTAGAGGCTGCTAACTTTGTTAAATAACCTGGGTACGGTCGCATTCTCTGATCGAAATCCATGATCTTTTGGCGTAGCCTGATCCCCACATGCGGTCTTCGCATTGCCGAGTAGTAGAGAAAAATTGAGTATTTCTGAATGAATTCAAGCGTGACGTCATCCATATTTTGAAGTCGATTAAGGTTCGTTTATTCGTTTATTCGGTTGACGTGACAGAGCACATTCAACAATAAAACTTACAACGCAAATAAAACTAAAACCAGGTAATGCAACAGAACACAACATCATTTGTATAATCCTCTATATAGCAAATTTACAACTAATTCGTAGTCTCTACAAAATCTCCCACATGTCGCTTAAAACTTTGATATTTGAACTGTAAGACATTGCTCCGCAAAAGGTAATTGAACCTTGAGCAAACTCTATTACCGAAAAACTTTGATCTAAGGTGAGTCCTGGCATATAGATGAGAGTCTAATGGAAGCGCCTCTTGAGTTAGATGGCAGCACACGGAAAAAGTCATCTGCTTTGATTTTCACTAAGTTTTTCAATAATTTGAATACCATTAGCAAGTCGTTTCTAGTTCTTCTCCACTCCAGTGATTTCAACCCATAAGCCCTATTCCGAAGGGTCCGTTCTTGGTATGTCCATGTAGTTCAGTCCATCCACACTAGCATCATTTATCGCGTGACAGTCATATTCTGCACGATTTCAAGTGCGTATGATGTCCTTTTCATAGGATAGAATACCCCGGTGCCGAACCCCATAATTGGGCGGACATTGAGCTTGTATGATCTCAGTAGTATCTCTTGTTCTCAGGGCCTTGAACAGGTTGAAGGTCCTCCGCAATCCCTTAGTTACCAGCATCTTATAGTGTTTGCTAAAATTTAATTTGCTGTCATAGTTGAACCCCAGATCCCTCACCTCTTTCAGTGTAACATCTCCCACGTAATACACGGGTTTGCGGGTAGAAACTCCCAAACGCATGACCTGAGTTTTTTCCGACGACGAAAGAAGAAAAAAACGCCTTTATCAGGGAAAGTGCGTAAACGGGGAGCACGTTTAAGAGCTACTTGCTGGAATCTGGATGAAGGCAAAACCACTTTAACAAGTCTGGGCCGCCCATTCATCGGTCTGCCCATTCGATAGACTGCGTTAGGAACACATTCAATATCTAGGTGGTTCAGAATTGAGTTGACCAATTGAAAAGTCATTATTGGCTCGATCAATAGAAGAAGAGGAAACGGACTCAGGTAATCCTATGACAACAATCGATCTTTTCTTTTCAAATTCTGCTTCAAAGTCGCTTACATGCGGGTTACCTCATTTCTAAGAGCTACAGGTTCTTGAGAGTCATACCGTTCAATGATTTTCCTTAGCTTTTCATTTTCTGTCCTCAGTTTCTCGTTTTCTTCTGTGACGTTTGAGATCCGAGTCTCTCGAATTATAGCTGTTTACGAATTTCGGCGTAGGAATCAACCAAATTAAGCCAACAGCAATAGTCGTTCAGTCGCACGAAAAAGTAGACAATCGTAGCTCCGGAATATAGCAGTCAGAATATCGAATCGGACGCAGAATTGCTTTCTCCGTACTACTGAGAAATATCACAGAAAAAAAAGGAAATATTGGTAGTCCAAGAGATCAGACAATAATCAAGTCGGAGCAA